TGGTCCAGCAACTATTTAAATAAAAAATCCAATTAACGAGACAGTTAATCTGAATGACAGCAAACCGGAGAGCAACAATCAGAAACAATGGTTCTAAACAACAATCAACCTGACAGCCTTCTCGTATCTGGGTCATCCAAGAGTCACCCATCACAAGTTGGTGATCTGATGTAGCACGAATTCAGTGAGAATATGGACAGCAGCAACACAGTTAGAGTCTCCTTCTCGTTGTGCCAGAGCACTGAAGAGACCTGGAGGGAGAGTGCGATTGAGGAGTACAATCAGCAGACTGCTATGATGATGGAAAACACACTGACCCTCGTGAGGAATCATACAAAAATCGAATACACTTACTACTTGCATGATATGAAAAGAAGACTATGCGCCACCATAGCTTCTATAGGTACTATTGAGGAGGCAAGGAGGACTGTTGGCAGCCATCAGTGAGTGTTTAGTCTCTGAACAAGAACACCTCACTTATCCGGACATTCAACAATCAATAACCAGTAGTCAGTTACTAGTGATCAGTTTGTAACAATCGTTTTCCAGCAATCAGTTTAGTAACCAATTCACCRGGACCATCTGGCCGGTCTGCACTGACAAGAGTATTCATGAGCACGGTTCAGTCTACGCCGGTCAGTGAGTCAGTGCTGGCCAGCCTCAATCGGATCTCATGCAAAGAGGCTTTTTACTATCAGTATGTTAGTGCCGTTGGTTTCAGACAGGGAGATCTGTCAATCTTCGTTGTCCAGACCAGTTTTGTTGATGGCACTATTTATGATCTGAGGCCTTATCTGAAGAAGGGCTAGGAGGCTCATGAACTTTTCGATTCGGTCTGGATCGCAGCCAYCAATTATCTTGAGCAGAGAGAGAGGGAGYTCGATGAGAGTGGTACTACGTTGATCCGCAGCTTCGGGTCGGCACTTTATACAGACTATCCTAGGCCTCCGGTCCCTTCTCTTCTCACTGATGGMACGAGYTGGCTGGATGTGGTTGGCTTGGCAAAGAGATACATCTCTCCGGCGGTGATCGACATCGAGGCATTGACTGAGCCCACCGAGTATCCCTACCTCATGTGGCGGTGATCGACATTGAGGCATTGACTGAGCCCACCGAGTATCCCTACCTCATGTGAGGCGTCTTCTCAGTGGATGGGCTGCCTACATTGTGGGAGGAGTTTTGCTCCATGGTTAACAACCGTGTTATGTGCCTCGGATGGTCGTGTTCAGAGCTTGCTAGCTACATGTGGCATTTTGTCACGAAGCCTCAGTCTCGGATTGTATGTGGGCGTGGGTCTCGACACCAGAGAAGATCAGTGAAAAGAGATTGAGAGAGACTGACCGGAGGGAGGAGTGAGGACTCCTGAGAGGTGCTGACCACGCTCGTTTACATATACGTTATAAGATTATTATGAGTTTTCATTCTTCCCTTGCTCAATTGCCCCTCTCTTTGCTCGAGTCAGTCAGTCTCATTTTCTGCATTATTCTTGCTTGATGATTGCCTTCGTGGATGTTTTGTCATAGTTTTCAAAATCAGATTGACATAATTGATGCATGTATAGCACCCCATAATTTTATGATTATTGTTTGCATAATTCTCTGTTGTTCCGAATCAAAATAAAAGATTCATAAGACCGGAGACCGGCGAAGACCGCAATTGAAGGGTCTCGCTCGAAGTCGGACGCACACAACAGGAAGGGATTTGCATTATTTAATTTATTTTATTTATTGCAATCACATTCAAAACCCTGCGTGACAACCTGTTAGCTTTCCGGTCGTCCGAAGTGGCCCGACTGGAAAAAGTGCGATAAAAATGGCGCTGTTGCCGGGGACATGAAAAATTTTTCGTGTCCGGAACGAACCTGGGTCATCATCATCTTTGAGTTTGGATTAGGACGTGAAAACAGTTGGTATTTCTTGAGCTTCATGTTAATTCTATTATTCTCATTTAAGTCCCGATTTTCTTGAGAATCACGACTGCTAACTGTGATTTATTTCTTCCTTGTGTGAGGTACCACACTGGATCGGGAAAAAAAAGATTGATATTATTGAATGGAGAGAATCAAGCTTGACACCAGGTATGCCCAATTATCTCTCAATACACTAAAGGGAATTGAAAGGAAGAAAGTGAGACGAATCAAGACAAATGCTGGTCGATGGTGTTCTGAAAGATTGTCTAAATTTACCACAAGAGGGATATTTCCTTACAGGTATGAGGCTTGTTGGGGCTATCATTCTTGTGGCACAACCATCTGCGTAGTGCTGACTCATTTATTGGAGGGAGATATCTATGATATCCGCCCCTATGTCAAGGAAGGAGGCAGCAATGATGGTGAGAATTTTAATTGGTTATGGGAGATCGTGATCCAATTTGTCTATGACGAAAAGACAGACTTGATCAAGCAAAAGAAGAAAGTGGAATAGAGTATAATGCCAGTAACATACAAGACTGTTCCAATCCCTCCTATACCTGACAGCTATTGTGATGGGACTAACTGACTGCCGATAATCAACATGGTGTTGACAAGGGAGAAAAGAAACGGTGGTCGTGAGAGCTGAAGAGATTTCAGCAGAAGTAATCAGACAAAGAAGGTCAAATTTTGGCAGAGGTTCGAGTCCGAATCAAGAGAAGGTCGAATGTCTCCGAAGGGCGCTGAACACTCTAAGCAAGAGAGAGGCATTCCCATATGAAGTTGTCAGGTATGAGATGGTCGAGAGTGGATGGGAACAGGAACGATTATATGTACTGACATTCTATTTCACAGACCTGGAAGTGTAACATGTAAGAATTTATGTTCCAAAGGAAAGAAGTGCTGATGCAGTATATGAGAGATGCTGGGGATTTGAGGAAGAAGTCGTATTGAAAGAGAGAGAGAGGCTTGAGAGAGAGCATAAGTGTTTTACTGGATGTACTCAATTTACTGTCTTCGAGGGATTTCCAGCTCCTCCCTTACCCGATATAAATTTCTCAAAAGATGATTGGTTTGCGGTGATTAAGTTTGCCCAGAGAGTGAAAAGAGGTCAAAGAGCCTGATGACATGACGCTATGTGCCCTTGAGAGAGAAATCTAAGCTTAGACTGACCAGGGGTCATGAAGGGCTGAGTAAGGCCGAATTAGACAAGTTGTTGAACTTTCTTAATTTTATAGCGGGTAGGGTTGTAATCCCTTATGAGATCGTGAGGTATGAAGCCATAAAGAGATTAGGACAAGAACAGGACAGTCTGTATGTCCTTACTTGTTATTTTATTGATCTTGATGAGTATAATATTGAGATTTACGAGTCAAAGCAAAGGTTGGAGGAGTGCAGAAAAGGTGTGTATTGGCAGCGAGCATCAAATCTTGTGCATGATGAAAAAAGAAGATTAGAGCGAGAGGGGAAAAGTTTATCTTTTAGTACTTATGTCTGACCTTTTGTTGGGATACCGCCACCACCTGTTGAGGGACTCACATTCCCAAGGAATGTTTGGTATGCTATGATAAAGTTTGTATGGAAAGTGAAGAGGGACGAAGAAAAATACTCTCAGTAACCCGGATACTATGAGGGGTAAGCTCCTGATTACGTTCAACCAGAGATTTACTATTTAGATATTGCCTATGATGTTCAGCAATGTCGAGCTTGACTGAGCAGCTGACACTGAGTGTTGTGTTGGAGGGTAGATTGATTAAGGTAGAAGGGACCCTTCGAATCTCCGATAGGAACCTATCTACCTTGGACGAGTTTGAGTTTTTGCAACCTTTCTTTGATCGAATGAAAGACTCTGCCCTGAGAATTGTCACGGATCAGACTGAGATAAGCTATTCATTAAAGGTAGTGAAAGTGAGGACTGTGGAGAGAATATCATACCACGTTTCTCGGGAACGAGTCTCCTTTGCTATAAGGATCAGCAACAGTTTGTAAGTGATCCAATTTGATTATGAGATCATAGACCAGACTCGGTATTTTATGATTCGGGGTACCATAAAGGGGTATAACAGAAGATTGAGTAGAGATGATGAGAGAGAACTGATTAAAGACTACATTGGAAGGCTGAGAAGAATTGCATTACCTTTGATTACAACCCAATCTGTTATTGCTTATGCTCTTTATGCACAAAATTCACAAGGGGTAGAGTAGATAAGAAAAGAAAGAAACGAGTCTGTATCCCTTGCGAGAAGAGTGAGAGATTGATGAACGAGGGAAAAAGAGGATAAGAGTGACAGAGAAAAAAAAGAAAATACCCGAGAAAGTTTATGGTTAAAATGGCAGGACGAAACAGACCAAGTTCGTCTGCAGGGACTAATGAGGAGGCCTTGGTTGGGGTTATACGAGAGTTGGTCGAGAGAGTTGACACAATCAAAGGAGGGTCAGACATTGCAAGAGCAAAAAGACCAGATGAGAGAATACCATGCTTTAGAGGGCCACAAGTTAATGATTTCTTGGATGAGTATGAGTTATTTGGACTCAGCTATGGCTGGACAGATAAGCAACGGCTAAAGCACCTTCTATCTTACTGTGATACTGACTCAAGGTTAACACTTCAGGAGCTAATGGAAGGTGTCACTACTTGGGAAGAGGTCAAAGAGAGACTGGAAAAATAATTTGAGAAAGATTCAGTTCCAACCACAACTAAGGATTTACTCAACATCAGAAGAGCTAAATATGACACCTGCAATGTTTTTCTTCAGACCTTTATCCGAACAACAAAAAGAATTCCATATTTGGATGAAGCCCATAGATGCCATATATTTTTGACAAATTTTACTGACACTGAAAGGCAAGCAGTTCTTAATCAAGCTCAGCACTATCCTCTCAGATGGGATGAAATGGTTGCAATTATAAGAACTCTGCCTACTGTCTTCCATAAGAAATGATCACTGGATCAGATCAGTACTTTGACCAAGGATTGAAAAACTAAGAATGGAATGAACAGAGGAAGCAGTCTGACTGCTGAGAATATTCTTCACAAAGTGATGACTAACTTTATGCCTGCAAGACCTGCAACTCATGCTGTGGATGACAGGGGAAAGAAGAAAGCCGACAGTGAAGAGGATGATGATGATGACGACGACAATGACGGCTGTGGTAAGAAGGGAGACTCCTCTAGATCCCAAAAGAATGGAAAGAATGGTGACAGGGGAAACAGAGAAAGAAGGAAGTATGATGAGCGTTCTAAGAGGAGCTTTGTCTGTTACTATTGTGGTGAAGGAGGTCACACTATCACCTATTGCAAGCCTCTTGAGGAGGATGTAAGGAGTGGGGTGGCAAAGAAAGATGCAAAGGGTCATGTCTGTGATAGCTAATGGAATAAGTTGGACCCCAGACATCCGGGAGGTATGAGGCTTCTTGCTCTTAAACATGATGAAAAGATGGGAAATTAAGAAGAAGAGAAAGACCAATGTGAATGTTCATCTCCTCATTGGAGACTTGCCTAATGAACTAGTACAAAGAGCGAGTGACTCTTGTATCACGATTGAGCTGTATTTGCACCGACAGAATGTGAGCCTAGCGAGGCATCAACAAGTGAGTCTCCATTGGGAAAGAACCCTACTTTCCAGGATCCTTCTGGGTTAGTAGAGTCCTCTTCCAATGAAATGGCTCATCTCCTGGCTAACATGATGTCATTCCATGGTGATCTACCCCCAGAACATATCATGGAACCTAGTGTCAGGGTTGGTGAAGTAAGGAACCATCAAACCCGTATGACACCTCAAATGATAGAAGAAAAGAAAAGAAAGAAGGCTGAGGAATCACTTATCGACATCCTTGATGATCCTGAACCGGAGCGTTCACAGGAAAAGAATGAACAAGGGAGAAAGAAAAAATGTATTCTTAAGAGTGATTTGGATGATGGGACTGTGATTTCTGATGTAATTGCTAAGATGCTGTAAGAAATGGAAGTGACACTGTCTTTCAAGGAAGCAGTGACACTTGCACCCAAACTGAGAGAAAAGTTTAAAATGTTAATTGAGAAGAAAAATATGAAAGTTAATTATTTGGGGTCAGTCTTTCCCAACCAAGTGAATAGATCACTACCAGGTTGCAAGATGAGATTTGCAACCATGGGTTGTGGGCATCTTACAATTTGCATTAATCAAGTGAAGATTCTAGCCCTAGTAGATTATGGGGCAGAGATGATACTTCTTTCACGAAGAACGATGAAATCATGTAATTTATCTATCGATAGACCTGCACAAAATGTACTGAGTAATATTGCAGGAGAGTTGTTTGTGGCAGGATTTATTAATAATATGTCTATCGGGGTCGGGACAATGACTGTGGAATTACTGGGTTTTTTAGTGTCGGATCTGGATCATGACTGTATCGTGGGAACTCCATTCTTGCATAGGATGGAGGCAGTCCAATTTTTCAGTCATGAGGGGTCATCTTGGATCAGTCTACAGGACCCCGGAACTGCTCAAGAGCAGACCTTTATGGTCAGTACGAAAAATGACTTCAAGCATCAACTATCTGCTAAGTCGATCAGAAGGGAAGAATCTGCTGAAAAGGTTAGGAAACTAAAGGAAGAAGGAAAACGAGAAGCAAAAGAAGAGATTTCTGTGGGAATCGATTAAGTTTCGAAAATGATAAAAGCCCGTGGTAAACTTGAGGATGAGGACAGGCAAATTGAAGCCTTCAAGAAAGTTGTAGAGTCTGCTAAAGGTGGAAAGATAAAATTGAGATTTGCATCGACTCACCTTTTTTTAGGAAAATAGCCACTGGGTCAAAAAGAAAATACAAGCCCAAGGGGGTGAAGAAAAACTCAGTGACAGTCCTAATAGAGAAAGATTATGATGAAGCATTGGAAAAGGAAAGGAAAATTATAAGGGCATTGAGGGAATCAGTAAAACTGGAGAATAGGGTTACCAAAGAAAGGTTTGACACAATGAAGATAGACTCGGATCAGTTTATCCTGCCTAAAGAGAAGGAATATATCTTCAAAATGTGTCAAGAATTCTCTGGTGCCTTCTCCTTTAATGATGAAGAGAGAGGACGGTTGGACGTGGACATGATTAAGATGGCCAAGATATGGACAGTTGATCATGTTTCATGGAATAATAGACCAACCAAGTATGCCTTGAAGGAAGAGGCAGAAGTTGTGAAGTATCTAAACAAAAAAATTGCATCTAATGTTGCCGAACCTGCTGATGGACCGTATGCTAACCACTGGTTTTGTTTCTGGAAACCAGGGGGCGGGCTATGATGAATACAGAAGCTTCAGAAGCTTAATTCTGTGACGGTACGTGATGCAGGTAGTCTTCCTAATGCTGATCTCCTCGCTGAATCTTTTGCTTGTCGATGTATTTATTCTCTAGTTGACCTGTATTCTGGCTACGATGAGTTCCCTATTGATCCCACTAGCCGGCCTATGACTGTCATGCACACGCCAAGGGGGCTTGTTCAGATGTGCATGGTACCTCAGGGCTGGACTAACGGAGTGGCAGTAGTTCAAAGGGATATGATCAAAGTCATGCAGGATATTTCCCTTGAAATAACCAGTCCCTCGATTGATGATATTCTTGTAAAAGAACCCTTGGTAAAAGATGAAACTTTGGTCGCAGGAGGAGTCAGAAAGTTTGTCTGGGAACATGCTGAAGGAGTAAAGATGGTCCTAGAAAGACTTCGGAAGTATAATCTGACTGCCAGTGGACCAAAGTCCCTTCTCTTTCAACTAGAAGTGATAATCTTGGGCTTTAGGTGCTTCTCCAAGGGTAGGAGTCCAGATCCCAAGAAGATAGACAAGATCTTGAACTGGCCTTTGCCTCTCAAAAGAGTGACAGATGTCAGAAGCTTCTTCGGAGTCTGTGGATTCTGGAGGATTTTTATTCCTAATTTTGCTGCCCTTGCAGAACCTCTGAGGGAAATGGTAAGACAAGGGGCTAACTTAGCATGGAATGATAAAAGACAAGCTGCAACAGAAACATTGCAAGAAAAACTAAGAGACGGTGGTGTAGTGTTGGGTGTGCCATATTATGATGATGAGGAGACAAGACCTTTCATCATTGAGGCGGATGGAGGACCAGTTGCTCTGGGTGAAGTACTTATACAGAAAGATGAAAATGAGAGGGAAAGACCTCTAAGATTTGAAAACAGAACCCTCAATTCTACTGAAAAAGGCTACACCTAATTCAGGAAAGAGCTACTTTCAATCATCCATAGCCTCAGGCACTACGTCTTAGGAAGGAGATTCATCCTGAGGACTAATGCATCTGCTGTGATTGGTGTTATTAAAAAGCACCAACAGGTAGATCCAACAGTCAACAGATGAATCTTTTTTATCTGGACATATGATTTTAAGCTGGAAAAGATACCCACCGAGAAAAACAGAGCGGATGGTTTAAGCCGAATTGAGTGGCGAGAAGAAGAAAAAGAAGATGTGAATGAAACAATTGAAGAATCTGCCTATGTTGATAATTTCCTTAATGAGAAAGATGATGAGGACTACGAGGTGCCATGCTCCTACAAGTGGAGTCCATGGCCAGAAGAAATAGACAACTGGCGAGAGATCCCTAGTGCGTACATTTACGAATCGATTCTTGGGAAAGAAGAGGAAGATGAACCAAATGATTGGTATGCTAAAGTCAATGCTGCAGCAGTAGCTGCTCATGAGGTTGGGGAAAGTTCAGGTCCAAAGGAAGACGAAGAGAGTGAAAAGAAGGAAGAGGATATATTTTTCTTCGTTGAAGAATATGATGAAAACTATCAAGAGATTGGCCGAAAGATGGAAAAGGAGCAGCTAAAAGAATATTACTATAAAGATTCAAGGAAGAAATTCAGACTAAAAAGAGGACATCTCTTTGTGGATGGTAAGGGAGGTCTGCCTCCACTAAGAGTGGTCTGTGATAAAGAGAGGCAGTCAGAGATAATCGCTGCTCTACATGAGGGGGTTGCCGGTGGCCACAGGGCTGCCGAGGCAACCTACTCCAAGACTGTCAAACTTTACTTCTGGCCTGGCATGAGAGACATGATTTTCAGGTACTGTAAGTCATGTGTCTTATGTCAGAAGAGATCTACCACAAAAATGATTGAGCCCCTGTTCCCTATGATCCTGGTAGAGCCAGGGAGTTGAGTTCATCTGGATCTCATCACTATGCCTTCAGGCAAGGGTGGGATGAGATACATACTAAACATGAGAGATCATTTCTCTGGATACGTTGAGGCAAAAGCTCTAAAAAGGAAGACAGCCGAGCAAGTGGCTGATTGGATAGAGGAAGTTTATCTCAGGTATCCATTTATCAGAGAATTTGTCTCAGACAGAGGATCAGAATTCAGAAATGAGGTCGTCAGAAGAGTTACACTCAGATTGGGTATCAGAATTCGGTATGTGACTACTTACCATCCTCAAGCGAATGCACCTATTGAAAGAGGCTACATAACTCTGGAAGATTCATTAGCCAAGTTGTGTGAAGGGAAACTCAGTAACTGGCCAAAGGTGTTAAGAGCTGTTGTATATGCTGATAATATCACTGTCAAGAGAACTACTGGTTATGCACTTTTTACTCTGTGGTACGACCAATATGCTACATTACCAATTGAGAGTATTGTCAAGACATGGTCAAGTCAAGAAAGTGACAGAGATTATTTTATTTCAGAACTCCTTCATATTAGAATGAGGCAGATATCTGAAGTTGATCAGGCAGTGATGAATGCAGCAGAGAGAATGACATCCAGCAGCCTATCGGATCAAGAAAGTTGGAACAAGAAAAGATATATAAAAAAAGAGAAATTGAAAATTGGAGATGTTGTCCTTCTGTTTGACAGTTCTCTTAAGACACAATGGACTAAAAGGTTGGAGCCCAGATGGCTTGGTCCTTACAGAATTACAGGAGAAGCAGACGGCAAAGTTTATGAGATGTCAGAAATGGATGGATCCAGGGTTTATGACATGGTGTCAGGATCAATACTTTGTAAGTTCATCTTCAGAGACCCTGACTTGATCTCTACAGTGACCCCAAAGAGAGGAAAGAGAAGTCAACCATCCAAGTAAGAGAACAGTCATAGAGGATTGAGAAAGAGTACAGTAAGACACTGAGACAACGAGACTCAGTTATCAGCAGACAATGATCATTCTTGCATAGTCAATTCAGCATTTCAGTTTCAGTATTTCAGTTTCAGTACTTCAGTCTTAGCATCTCAGTTTCAGTATTCCTGTTTCCAGAAAGTCATTTCATTATCTATTTCAGCAAGCAACTAAGTTAATGAGATTATATCTTTGACGCAGTGCTGCAGTCGTTCCATGAGTGTCAAATCCTGAGAGTGGGGGGGGTAACTGTGAGTACAGTTCTGAGAGAATTGACACAGTATCAAGATCTGAGAAATTCATGGTTGTGGCACATCAAATGATATAAGCAGTATTATTGTTATCATTGAGAGAAAGCATGATAGACATAAAGAAGTTCAGTTCTGTCTGATTGAAAGTTATGAGCAGAAGGACTTCGTGTCTCTGACTAAG